CTCCTATTCCATCCTGTAATGTTTTCAGAGTGTCTGCTTTGACTCCAAGGTCTTTGATCCATTTGGAGTTGATTCTGGTGCAGGGTGATATATAAGGATCTAGCTTTAGTTTTCTACAAGTAGTTAACCAATTTGCCAGCACCATTTACTGAAGAGGCTGTCTTTCTTCTATTCTATTTTTTTTTAGCTCCCTTATCGAAGATTAGATGGCTGTAGGTCTTTAGGTTCATTTCTGGGTTTTCAATTCTATTCCATTAGTCCTGAGGTCTGTTCTTGTGCCAGTACCAAGCTGTTTTGATTACTATGGCTTTGTAGTAGAGTTTGAAGTTTGGTATTGATATTCCTCCAGCACTGTTCTTTCTGTTAAGGATCATTTTTGCTATTCAGGATCTTTTATTGTTCCATATGAATTTTTGGATTGCCTTTTCTATTTCCTTGAAGAATGAGGTTGGGATATTGATAGGTATCACATTGAATTTGTAGATAGCCAAGGCAGATTTTTATCAGCTGAACATCTGGATCTCAATACAAGACCTGGGTAGAAAAGAAACATAGGTCCCATGGTTTTCCTTATTTGCAATATCTAGTATATGTATGAGTCAAGCAAAAAAGGTCAGATAAAGTGATGTTAGGAAAATGAACCCTTAGATATGTATTTAAATGGTTTTTTTCTTCCATGCATTTGTTTCTAACGCATTTATAAGATTATTTCTTTGTTGCTTTGTATGTCCCTCCCCCACAGTATAACCCCTGCTTTCACTGTATTTGATGTCAGTATAATTTGTAGAGGGGAAGGGGAAAAACAAGTCATTTAAATAAGGATACAGGTGGACCTGTTGCAACAATGAGAAGTACAAGTTGTCATGTCGAAAACGAACTTTACAACTTTGGTGGGGGGGAGGGGAGGATTGGGGGGGGGGGGAGGCTGGGAAGGGATGGGAAGGGTAAACAAAGGAGGAGGCTACAATGCTTGATAAGAAATGTACTCATTATCTTGCCCATGTAATTGTAACCCCTCTGTACAGTATGTTCACAATTAAAAAAAAAAAAAAAAAAGACCTGGGTAGAAAATGCTGACTAGAACTGGGGAGATGGCAGGACTCTGTGGTATACTACCAGGTCATTCCTTCCACCCAAATTGCTTAGTAACTATTTAAATAGCTATATATCTCTTAACTATATCATTATCTCTGCTCCATTTTTCTATCTTGATTATTTTATTCGTATTCACATATGTTGTTTCAATGAGTTAGCTAGGGGATGCATATTTTTACATTTCCTTTAACATTTCTAAGAATCTCCTGGAACTGAGCACTCCTAATACTAGGGAGAAGAGAATTTGAGATGTTACTGTCTTCAGAGATGGAAATGACACTAACATGCAGTCTCCTGTTCTCTAATCCCTGGTCCCAAAGTAAGTTTTCTCTCCTGCTGCAGCTGTTCTTCCCTTGAGTAAATTCATCTGGTAGCAGAGGTGATGGAGATGATGAAGATGACCTTGTCCTGGCCTTAGTCCTCTTTCCTTCCTTCTATCTCAGCTCATTCTCCCAAAGACAGGCATTTCTCATGGGCTTCTTTGCTTCTGAGATGCACTTAGAGGACTTTAACTTTTCAAAATTGTTTTTATATTACTTAGAGAAACATTATGTTAAATGTCTCAAATCATTAATCAAGGTTATCTCTTCTTTGTCTTAACCAAGCTAATTAGAAGTACTACTAATTGCAAATTATTATTCTGTAGGGAATTCCTCATATCCCAGTTGATTCCTTCTCTACTTTCCTTGTCTTCCCAGGTTAATCACAGAATTGTAGTTATACATATGCAGATCATTCACACACATGGGTGCTATACACACACCTTTTTGTGTACCTGGTTTGGCACTATGATTTTCCAGTAGAAATGAAAATTAAATTTTTGTGACTTATTTTAGTGATTATATATGAATTTTTGGAATTAACTGGTCTTCATTTCAGATCACTTAGTACATCTCTAATATTTGATTGTGTTATCTTGCTGGGTTCTTGGACTCTGTCACTCTTTAGAGCATCAAGACTGTTCTTGCCATTTTCAGTGCTTTCATCCACTGTTCCTTTAATATTATTGGCATCAGTTGCAGCAGGACATTTGAATGCTGTTAGAGGACTGCTTTGTTTCTTCCCTTTTCTTGGTCTGTGCATGGTTACCTCTTCACACATGAAGTTTGGCATGGCTCATGAAGATACAAACTGGAATGAAGTTCACTCTACTTTTTCTGTCATTTTCAGCATGGGGTGTGCAACAAATAAAAGTGTCTGACACATAAAAGGTGCTTAATAAATGTGGAAGAATTGAATGAATTCTTTACAAGCAGCAGATATATCCTTTCTCTTATTTTCATGCTCTGAAACCTTACTATTGAGAAGATGGTTTGAGGTCAGTTATTTAGCATCATCTAGCAGCTTGTCATAAATACAGAGTCTCAGGCCCCACTTACAGACTCAGAGTCTACTGTTTAGCAAGATCTTCATGTGATTCCTGTACGCAGTGGTTTTTTGACAAACACTGCTCAAAAAAACACCTCAAGTGTGAAATAGAACTTTGGAAGCACTTTCTGTTATCAGAGCTCTGTTCTCACCTCCCAGTCCACTGTTTCCTGCTCCTTTACTTGGCTTTCTTAGTATGGATTCTACTTGCTGTTTCTAGGAGAGTTCTAGCTTCATCTGGATACTCCTCTATTTCTTCATAATTGGGATTGTTTGTGATCATAATTTTATTGTTATCAACATTTTATTTTTTAAAGGTCACATATGTAAATTTATCTTTTTAGTGATTTTCCCCCATTGACTTAAAAAATCTTATTGTAAGAGTGATGTACAGAGGGAGTACAGTTACAATGTAATGAGTACATATCTTGTCCAATATTGTTACCCCTCCCTCTTTTTCTCCCACTTTCTCTCCCCCCTCAATTCTCTTCCCCCCAAGTTCTAAAGTTCATACTTTTTTTTAACTGTTGGAAATCTTTTTCTTAATGAAAATTTTGATATCTAGTTCATATTTCCTGTTCCTAAGAATCTAGAGTTTGACAGAGAGCTAAATACCTATTCATTACAATTCAATTTAGAGTTAAATTGAGTTTTCAGAGGAAGGTAGTTCAGAATTCTTTCAGATTCTGTGCTTACAGAAGACGTGTCTTTGAGCAGAAATCCAGACAGTTGAAATACTCCTTCTTTACCCTGTCTGGCCTCTATAAACAAATAGCAAATATGTATGTGTGTGTGTGTGTGTGTGTGTGTGTGTGTGTATGTAACAATAAACTGGCTTATTCATGACTCACATCTATAGTGCTACCTATGCAGGAGACTGAGATCCAGAGGATTGAGTTTGAAAGCTAGTCTGGGCGGAAATGTCGATGAGACTCTATCTCCAAAATACCAAGGAAAAAGCAAGACTAGAAGCCAGGAAGTAGTGGCTCATACCTATAATCCTAGCTACTCAGGAGGTTGAGATCTGAGAATCATGGCTTGAGAGCTTATTTAGAGGTTCTAGCAGTGGAGCACAGCTACTCATATACCTTTGGTTGAAGTCCAGTATTCCTCTATCATGGGTGGTTATCCTCTTCAATCTAGCATGCTACTTCAAGAGGGTTTCTCATGGAGCAGTTGGGGAGGAAGAGGACACCTGTTCAGCCAGCCAGATCAGCAGAATCAACCCTGGTCATGAGTAGGTGACAAAGGAAGGAAAGCCAGATGGCCCTCACATCCTGAGGATCATGACATTTTGAAGCCAGTCAGGGCAGGAAAGTTTATGAGACTCTTTCTAATTAACCATCATTTTGTTTTAAGCTAGAAGTAGAGTTGTGGCTCAGGTAGTAGAGTGCTAACTTTGAGCACAAAAACTCAAGGACAGTGACAGGCCATGAGTTCAAACCCCAGGACTACCACACAAAAAACAAGACTCAAAATATGGGTGAATTAGGCGCTGGTGGCTCAGGCCTGTAATCCTAACTATTCAAAGCCAGCCAAGGTAGGACTCTTAGCTCCAATAAACCACTCAGAAAACCGGAAGTAGCTCTGTGGCTCAAGTGGTAGAGTGCTAGCCTTGAGCTGAAGAGCTGAGGGACAGTGCCCAGACCCAGAATTCAAGCCCCACGACTGACAAAAAAAAAAAAAAAAATATATATATATATATATATATATATATATATTTATATATATTTTTTTATATATATATATATATGGGTTAAGTGGTAAAGCACTCAAGTAGTAAAGACTCTTATTTTCAAACTCTGGTATCAGCAAAACAAATAAAACACAATACGGGGCCTTTACTATATTCTTGGGAAGCTTTTTCATTAGGACTATTCAATGTACTCCTTCTTGATTTAGTTGAACTATTTAATAAACAATATAGAGAGATGTTACATATGTAGTAAAGTAATGAAATAATCTAACTCTGGTATTACCAGGTACATGGGAGTCCTGGTTGATAGACATGGGTCCAATCACGTCACTAGTTATATAGTCCCTGGGAGATACTAGTAACCTCCTAGAGTTGGCTTAGAACATCCAAATTGTTCTTTAGCAAAACGTGGTATCATTTTAGTGGATCTGCGATGGAGAAACAGGAAGGGGCTGAGAAGAGAATTAACTTACTTTGTCAAAAGCAAACACATTTTTATTTATTTATTTTTTATTGTAAAAATACTGTACAGAGGGGTTACAATTACATGGGCAAGATAATGAGTACATTTCTTATCAAGCATTGTAGCTTCCTCCTTTGTTTCCCCTTCCCATTCCTTCCCAGCCTCCTCCTGGCCCTTCCACCCAATCCTCTCCCACCAAAGTTGTAAAGTTCGTTTTCGACATGACAACTTGTACTTCTCATTGTTGCAACGGGTTGCAAACACATTTTTTAAAAGAGAAAAACATAACTTTGAAGTAAGCTGCAGTTTTACCATAGACTATGAATTATGTAGAACACCAGCATTTATATTTGTCCTGTATTATACTTTTTTTTGTAGTTATACTTACTGGTGGACACCAGAAGTGATAAAGCATTTGCCATTACCTTATGATGAAGGTAGGTAACTGGTTCTGGTTCCCCTTTGATTTTTACTCTTAACAGATTTTATAATTATACTAAATGAATTTGAATCATTGAATCTTTGTCATATGATATTTTGTTAAAAAGAAACAAAGAGGGCTGGGAAGGTGACTCAGTGGTAGAGCGCTTGTTTTGCATGCATCAGGCCCTGGGTTCGATTCCTCAGTACCACATAAGCAAAAAGAAAAAAGCCGGAAGTGGCACTGTGGCTCAAGTGGTAGAGTGCTAGCCTTGAGCTGAAGAGCTGAGGGACAGCGCCCAGGCCCAGAGTTCAGGCCCCACAACCGGATCCAAAAAAAAAAAAAAAAAAGAAAAAAAAAGAAACCAAGAGCTATTTATAATTGTGTTGTTATTTTAATAGATGGAGTGGTATAACATTTCTTAGCTTCTAAAAGGGCAAGAATTGTGGTATACTTTTTATCCAAGTAGGTGCATACCTTGCATTGTGGCCTACACTTAAACATCTCAGATATTTAGTTGATATATTATTTTATCATTTTGAACGGGTGCTGATAATAGTTCTACATATTTGGGGAAAATAATGAGGAAGTAAGGATCCAGCCATAAGAAGAAACTAAATCTTTTTTCCTTATATCTAAGCAGTGACAAAAAAAAAAAAGGAAAGAAAAGTATATGCAAGTTCATTTTAGAGCTGGGAGTGTGGCTATAGCTCAAGTGGTAGGGCACCTGACTAGCAGGGCTTGAGTTCTACCACCAGTACATCTGGAAAACAAAACAAAACAAAAAAATTAAATCATTTTAAGTTAAATGTTAAGTTTTATTAATCTGTCTTGAGAGGTAAACAGCAATTTTATTAAATACTTTCAAATGTGCTGTACACATTAAAATAATACTTCAAAATTTAAGTCATTTTCCAATTTATCCCTGTACCTAGGGCTTGAACTCAGAGACTTGAGCTCTTGCTTGGCTTTTTTGCTCCTGGCTGGCATTCCATGACTTAAGCCACACCTCTAGTTCCACCTTTTTGTTGGTTAACTAGAGATAAGAGTCTTGAGATTTGTCTTCCCTAGCTAACTTAAAATTAGATTCTCAAATCTCTGACTTAGCTAGGTATATAAGCATGACCTACCAGGGCACCTGTCTCTCATTTTAGACATAATTTAATCCTAGTTTTGTTACTAATTCTCCTGGCCTTAGGCATGCCAATTTTTTTTTTTTTTTTTTTTTGTAATCCTAACTAGTAAGGTTTGTTTACTGCCAACCTGCAACACTTTAGTCAAAGACTTCCATCTAGTCATGGTTTGACATCCCAAATTTGGGTGAGGAGGTCATAACAGATTACTGAAGAATTTTAGTTCTTAATAAGTTACTCACTTAGAAGTTATTTCTTACTTGAAAGCCTGGGCAAAATCATAACTTATGCTGGTTTTCTAGAAGAAAAAAAAGGACTTTGACTGTCTAACATAACAGTAGCCATTAACATGATTTAAATATTAGCAAAACATATTGAAATAGCTGCAACTAGACTGCATGCAGGGAATTGTTAACAGTAAAAAGGAATTTAAAGAGATGAGTAATCTGATTTCTGAACTAACTCCCTGCTCCTACCCTGGACTTCCTGAGGCCCCTTCTCTCTCCTTGGAGCTGGTCACACACATTTGAATTGTGTTTTCCGTGCATGCATTTTTTTCTCTGTTCCAAGTAAGTGCCAGGGATGGTAACCAAGTGAGCCTTTTTCAATACTGAGTCCCCACACAGAGCTGACCATAGACGTTTTCTGTGACCACAGAAATGTAGCTGAATATAATCTAAAGACAGTTCAACTAACAGGCAGTTATCTCTCTTAGTTATTTGTGCTGCGAACTTAAAGAAATTAATAGTGAAGAAATTTCACAGACATGAAGAAGAAATTGATATCCACAATGAGTTCTTTCGGCCATATGAATTGAGTAGTTTTGATGATACCTTTTGCTTGGCTATGACAAGTTCAGCACGGTATGTTGTGAGTACCCTGAGACTGTAAGTATTTGGAAGTTGTAGTTTCCCTAGTTAATAAAGGTATGTCTTATTTTATCAGAAATACATTCTGCAAGGCTGTGTTATGGTAGATCTCCATGTGTTGAAAATTTTCTGTGATAGGGGCCTTCTTCAAGAGGCAGCATCTTCTCTTGTCTACTACAGTTAATTTCTCTCTTTTGATGTGTTAAAAGCTGTCTTCTATCCTAATTTTCCATTTGGTATAAACTCATTATTTTTCATTGAATGTAGAACTTGAGAGCTAATCTAAATTACTGTCTTGTCTTTTGCACTAGGAAAGCTGGGATTTCATCATCAATTAGCTATTGCCTGACTATCCAGCTTGCTATCTAGAAAGTCATACTACTTTCCTCCTCCCCTTCTCCCTTACCTCCTCCTCCCACTTTCCCTCCTCCACTCCTGGGAAAAATTTTTTTTTATTGTGAAAATACCATTCAGAAGAGTTACAATTACATGGGCAAGATAATGAGTACCCTGGGAAATTTTTATGTGCTTGGTTTTTCAATTAAATCTATTAAAGTCTAATTTAATGAGGACTTCTAATTTAATCTAATGTAATTTCTAGAGTTTTTTAAACTCAGAACAGAATAAATGACATGTATATGAGTTTAGGTATACAGTTGGTTTTATTTGTGGTAGTTATGTTCTATAAAGTTCTGCAAATACTGAAGAATTGCTACTTTGTTTCCTGGGAGCCTATGATCAGGACATTTTTATCATCCAATCAATACATAACCTAGTTTTGTGTGTGTTTCCATTTAAGACACTGTATTTCATACAGATGTTGTTGATTTGTTGACATTACAACAGCATTTTAGCTTGAGCCTAAGTGGAGCTTATCTAGCACATGCATTTGCTCCAGAAGACATATCACAGCTTTTTTTGTGGGCTTAAAAACACTAGCTAGCCTCAGCATATGCTTGGGATCCATTTTAAACGACATCACAAACAGAAAGCACAAAAAATGTGCAAAAGTAACATTATGTAGATGAGTAAAAAGATACTCATTTACAGTATGAGAGGGAAAAAAAAGGCAGAGCTTACCTCCTTCCACCTCCACTGGGAACATAATAAGTGCTGGGTGACTCAGATTTTTTACTGCTCTTTGTAAGCACATGTCTTCAAGTGACTGAAACAGCACCACGAATGTGGATTTAGGGTTGCAAGTCAGTTTTAGTTAGTAAGCAAACCACACACATGGAATCTGCACATGATGGGGATCAACTATATATTCAAAAGGAAAAAAAATTAAACTGACTGCATTGCTAAAACATTTCAAACACTTAAAATAGAAATTTTAGGTCAGATTCAAGATTAGTTTCTTTTCCTAAATAAACAAATTAGCATTTAGGCATCCTGGGAGCAGTATCTTCTCCAGAAGCCACAGGTCTTAACATAACTCCTGGAACTTTTGCTTTGTTGGCATCTATTGTGGAGCTTGGTCTGCCTTCCATGGTAACAGTAAATTAGTCCTTCAATAATGAGGAAGAGCCTTTAGCTTAACTCAGTAAGTGATAAATTAATGTTTCTATGAAATGTTTCCTAGTGGTGTTACATGTTGAAATTCAAACTTGTACCATTGTGCTTTGATCATCATGTCTACCCCTTTTAATGGTATAGAGTGAAAAAACATTGCCCATAAAACTAAATAGCTTAGTGTTTGGCCATTGGGTTTTTTTTATATGAGTTTGATTTGACCTCAGAACTAATCATGATATGTAATCAGGTAGTATGCATCTTAGGCATGGTTAGGTAACAGCCATGTTCCAGTACACAAAACATTGCATTCAAAACTGTTGGGCCTTGCGGCTATAGAGAATTCATAGTGAACATTGGTTACATACATTGAAGTTATCTAGTTTCATTGATCACCTGCAGCTTTCCTGGACATTTGGTTCAGAACATACGTAGCTCTAGAAGATAAGTAAGAATATTTTGTCTGTGAGTAGAGATAAAAGCCAATATCATCTGGATGGACAGATTCATAGGTATTTTGCCTTTTTCCCATCTCTTTCTAGTGACTTTATGCCTAAGACTGTTGGCATAGATCCAAGTCCATTTACTGTGCGGAAACCAGATGAAACTGGAAAATCCGTCTTGGGGTAAGACTTGCACATAGAATGAAATCTTAAAGATTCTTATAAACTAATAGCATTTGTAGTAGTATTTGCACCAAAAACTAATAACTTCAAGTCATATTTGGGTCAGTCTATTTACAGCTATAGAATAGCTCATTAATAGCACAAGGATCATTAAAATTAAATTGTTTAGTAGTGAAAATAAAATTTATGGGAATTTCAGCAACATAGTACATTTTACTTATTTTAAATTGAGACTATAACAGATGACATAAACTGATATTATGTTTTATATCTTATAAAAAACCTGGCATTGTTTCCCAACATGAAATATTTAAGTAAAATTGTATATTAATTGTATTTTTTTGTGTGAGCATCCTAAGAAACATAAAAGCCTGTGTGCCCTGATAGAGAACTTATACTCTCTTATGTGTAGCTGTGATACTGTTTTAGGAGACACTCACTTTATTATTTCTAGTAATATGAAGAAGACATACCATGTTTACATCTTCATGCTTAGAGACTATGTAAAATATGTTGTGTCTGGCAGAAGAATTCCTTTCTCCTCTTTTAACCTGCTTAGTTCCAATGATTAAGATTTTCCCTGGATGCCAACCAGAAGCCCCGGCCAGACTTCAGATACAGAATCCTAATTGAATTTGGAAATGTGTATGGGATCTTAATTGGACTCTAGTTACATGTAGTTGTGGGATATTCACTAATACTTTCCAGATGTACCACGTACATATGTGCATAACTATGTGGCCTTTAAATGGCTTTATGTTCAGTCCTGATCAGGTCCTAAGAGGAATTTAAAAGAAAAATCCTTGTGAGTTTAGAATTGAAGAGTTCCTGGGATAAGTAAATGACCAGCCTCATTAGTGTATAGCAAAGAAATCCTATCAAATTTAATTTTCAGTTGCAAAAAGTCAGAAGTTAACTTTGATCGCCACAGTATCTTAACCCACAGTTAAATAGCATTGTTTTCATCCTTTCCTAGACTACTATGGCATTTTTAGTTTATTACAGAAAAACGTTTAACAAATGTGAACTATTAAACATTTTTATAAAAGCCAAAAAAGTATTACTATAAAACACTTTTTTGCTACTAGCAAACTTGGCCCTAAAAATAAAAGTAAATACAATAAATACTTGTACAGGTTATTTTCTTCATCTCTCCCTCCCCATTTGTTCTCAACTATCAGAGGCATTGTTCAATGAATGTACTTGTTCACTAATAAATACAAGAAACTTTAAAAATCATATGATGTTCTGCAGTTGATTACTTCAGTACACTGTGGTTGATAAGGACAACATGTGGATTTTCTCTTGGCTTTTTCTTGAAGCTTTTGCAAGTTACAGGGAATTTTACTAATGCCTCAAACATACAGTTTTCTCATACTTTTCCAGAAACTTTAAAAGTATTGATTTCAGTTGCTAAAGGAAGTTACAGTAGCCAAGTGCTGAGGAGACTTTTCTATACCCTGCAAGTACACTTTGGGTTATTTTTAAAATTTATAATTAGTTTAAATGCATATAAGATTGGCACATATAAGTAAAGAAATACTGAGCTTTCCTACTTAGCACATGGTGAGTTCAGAAACTACTTTCTCAGTCATTTTCAATACAAAATGACCATTGAAGGTTCAGTTTAAAGAGGCTTCACATCCACTGTTCCTCTTTTTAAAGAAATAAAAGCAATCGAGAAGAAGCTGTATTGCAGCGGAAAACTGCAGCCAGTGCCCCGCCACCCCCCAGTGAGGAGGCCGTGTCCAGCAGCTCTGAGGATGACTCTGGGACAGACCGTGAGGATGAGGGGTCTGTGTCTCAGCGCTCCACCCCTGTGAAGATGACTGACACAGGAGACAGCACCAAAGCCACTGAGGTGTGTGGGAAGGAAGCCCACGTGACTCAGCCTGAGGCCCTAAGGATGATCTTTAAAATTCTGCTTTCATTAAAAGGCTGAGAGTAAGAAAATGTCATCTCACTCATACATTTTAATATGTGCTGCTTGAGGCTTATGCCTATAAGCTGACCACATTTAGCATAGACTTGAAAATGGTTTATTTTGAAATAGAATTAGTGGTTTTGCTCCCCTTTGTAATTGTGAATTCTTACCACCTCAGAATTTTAAAGAATATTCTGCCCTTTTTGTGTGTTTCTGTGCCAGTACTAGGACTTGAACTCAGGATCTAAGTGCTGTCCCTTAGCCTTTTTGCTCAAGGCTGGCACTCTGCCACTTAAGATACTGGTCTATTTCTAGCTTTTTGGTTGCTAATTGAAGATAAAAATTTCACAGACTCCTGTATGAGCTGGCTTCAAACCAGAATCCTTAGATCTCAGCCTCCTGAGTAGCTAGGATTACAGGTGAGCCACAGGTATCTGACCATCCTGCCTTCCTTTGAGTAGCCCATCTACTTGAGGTCCATGTATTCATTTCCTGTACTCTGAGCAGGTTTTAGACCTGTCTCACACAATCTTTAAAAACCCTCAGAGGGATATTTACCCTGTTCATATTACAGTAAAGGAGTACAACTGGAAACAAACAACAATAAACTGAAGAACCAAATCAAGCTTTGAGGAAATTTGCTTTCTAGAAATAGCTAAGTCATCTAGAAATAGCTAAGACAAATAAATGAGATCTGAATTTATTACACAAAGAATTGGCAGCGTCTGACTGATCAGCCAGATCCAGCCTGTTTTTTTTTGTAAATAAAGCTTTATTGGAACCTAGCCCTGCCTACCTGCCTACATATTACATGCAACTGTTTTTGTACTATACCAGCACAGGTGAATAATTACAAGAGAGCTGATTAAAACTAATGAGCATGAAATATATACTATCGGGCATTTTATAGAAAATGCCAACTCCTGCATTATACAGGAACAAATGTAATTATTTAACGTGCTTTTAAAATCAAAATACACTGGTTTTTAGTGGGAAATGGAAATCAGAGTTTTTTTTATTGTGAGAATAATGTACAGAGGAGTTACAATTACATGGGCAAGATAATGAGTACATTTCTTATCAAGCATTGTTGTCTCCTCGTTGTTTCCCCTTCCCATCCCTTCCCATACTTCTCCTCTTTCCCCACCTGATCCTCCCCCGACCCCCACCAAAGTTGTTAAGTTCGTTTCTTCAACATAACGACTTGTACATGTTATTGTTGCAATGGGTCTAGAGTTTGTTTTTTTTTTAAGACATAAACTAAGAAGTTGAATGAGCAGGTTGGGGAAACCATTATGATTGCTTTTATAGAAAAATTTCTAGACTTACTTTCTTCATTTTTGGAAATTATCAATATGCTGGATGTCAAAAAGTTCTGTTTCCATTTTTTAAACCAGAATTTGGTTCAACCCATGAAAGAAGTGTATGGAATTAATCTCTCAGATAGCCTCTCTGAGGAAGATTTCTCCATTTATTCAAGGTAAGATACTTTCACATAGAAAGAAAGGGGGAAAGGAAAAAAATATTATAATCATATCTATATGACCTTTAAAAATGAAAATAAAAATGCAGAAAGAAATGAATCTCATTTAGAATACATTTGTAGCATTTAAGGTATCAAAATCTGAAATACTACTTTGTATTTAGAATTAAAGGTCTTAGCACCTAAGATGCTTGCCCTCAGTGATAAAAATTTATGATGCTTAGATGTTTGTTACTGCCCGTGTAGAGCCACTAGTCATTGCTGTATTCCCAAATCCTTAATATCAAGGCACTGTCTTACAAAACAAATGTGGAAAGATGACAGCGGAGAACCTGGTGTTTGTTTTAGCTTTAGGTGCAGGTGGGAGTGGTGGCTAAGGGGGAAAGGTCCATACTGCCAGTTCAAGATGTGTTGACCAGGCAGATCTCATTGAAGGAAGCCATCAGACAAAAGGCATTCCCAGAAATCATCTGTGTGTGTATATGTGCTAAGGAGGAGAGTCATGGAGGTTCTCAAAATAATTGTTCATTCCAAAATCCCCAAGAACCTGCAAATACCACTGTAAATACCACCTAACACAAGCCTTCAGAAGGCTACAAAACAAGTGAACTATGTCCCATGTAAGTCATACAGGTTTGGTATATGTAAATTTCTTAATAAAAAAAATAAGCACTAATTGGCAGTTTCTTTTTTTTAAAAAAAGTATCTCTTGCCTCAGGCATGACTTTCACTTGCAGCCTTAATGTCTTGGACTGCCTCTATGGCTTTGTTCAGCCACAGTATTCCTGGGAAACAGTCTCAGAAGTATGAAACGGCATGTCTGTAAGGAAGCGATTACTGTTAGGGACAGCGGAATCCATCTAGAACTGGAGTCTGTGATTGATACTGCAGAAATTACGCTGCCTTCTATTTGTTCTTTAAATACCCATAATAGAAAGAGACTATTATCCCACATTATGGGCTAAGCGTGGAGAGCCATTCAGTGATTTGTCCCTGTTACATATTGTATTCCCTTGTTCCTCTCAGCTGCCTTGTTTATGATGTAGACCTTAGGGAGAACGTGGAGTAACATAGACCTGACCATTACTTTCCTCTATGTGAGTAGCCACTTCCTATGGGCACACTACCCCTGTTAGGCTTCTTCCTTCCCCCATAGGACTTTGTGGGCCTCTCTCATCTCCATCTTCCATGGGCATTGTTATAGTCAGAGGAAGCTTCTGTATTCCATTACTGTAACAAAATACCTGAGAAAACAAACTTACCAAGAACAGAGATTTCTTTTGGCTTATTTGACCCTGTTGCTTTGGGGACAGTGTCATGCATGGTGGAACAAAGCTGTTTGTCATATAGCTGGAAAATAAAAAAAGAAAGAAAAATAGATCAGGTCATCCATTCTGCATTGAGTATATACCCCTATTGTGCATGAACCCTCTCATTAGGCCCCACCTCTTAAAGTTTTTGCCATCTACCAATAGCACTACTCCAGAAATAAGCCTTTAACTACTGGGGCTTTGAGGAGCATTCAAGGTCCAAATGTCAGCAGCTTCTGTGGGAGTAGCTGTGCCAGAGGTGGCCACAGGACAGTCAAGGCTTTTCTCGCATTGGAACTGTCTTAGTAATTGACTCTTCTCGCATTGGAACTGTCTTAGTAATTCTTCTGATCCACAGAGCAGAGAGAGAACCCACAAAGTTGCCTAAACCTCTCTAGTTCTGCACCCAGGAAGCTGGTGCCCATGGAAGTTTATGCATATACCAACAGTGCCCTGGCCTGGCTTGTAGATCATAGCTCCTACTGGGCCACCACAGGACACTGTGGGGAAGAGAAATTATACTGTATTTCCTTCATTGGCTCTGAGCACTTCCAGACTCCTGAGAATTTCTCAGTTTTCTGCTTTTGTTCCATGCATTGAGCCCTGCTTTTTCTTGTCTTCCTCTTATGTTTTCTAGTGACTTTGATTTGTTGTCTTGACAAGCGGAAAGTTTCTTTCACTTCCTTAAAGCTGCATCCACCTGCAACAATTAAAAAAAAGTGACAGTGATCGGGCATTTGATTTGGAAAGTTTAAAAGTCTATGCAAATAGTTGATAATATGTGACATTATTCTGCCAAAAAGATGAATGAAAATCTGTCACCTGCTGAAGATAAAAGTCAGCTCTATGGAAGTTTTTCAGTAGCACTATAATGACTTCATAATTGGTAGCTTCTGCAGCATTTTTCTTGACCTTTAGAAAAGCTTATGAAAAATAAATGATAAAAATTATCCATGCTCATCAAAGGAAATATATTAGATAATAGCAAAATGGAAAGAGAATCAGCTCTTTAATCCTGTAGACTTGTGGACACAAAGAACAAACTATAACATCACCACTCTGAGGGGACAGTGTGTCTTAGCTTAACACTGATTAATTCTGTTCAGGTCTTCTCTGAGGAGGGATGACTTGACATGCTGCTCATGAGCTGGCCCCTCCATCTTGGTTGAATGTGTTCCACTCAGAGATAGTTAATAGGTGGGAAGATACAAGAATAGGAGGAATCTATTGGCCTAAGGAAATTGAGCGCATGTCCTAGGTTCCCAGCAGCATTGATGCTTTGTGGAGGTTGGTTCCTAGCCTGCCCACCCTTTGCATGTCATTAATTTCATTGCCAGCTTCACCTCATGCTTCCTGAGGAGACCCTATAGGACCATCTGCCTGGCTCAATTTCTGCATAGCATTTAAGTCATAGAAGGCAAAAGTATACATGTGATTTATGTCCATGGTTAGGAATTACATGCTACACAAAATGATGTATCCTTCTAAAAAAATTCCAGCTAATGGAGGGGATGTGGACAGAAAGGAACCTTAATTCATTGTTGGTGGGAATGTAAACTTGGTCAACCACTTTGGAAAGCAGTATGGAGGTTCCTCAAAAGACTCCACATAGAGCTCCCCTATGACCCAGCAATCCCACTTTTGGGCATTTACCCTAATGTTTACAAACAAGACCACACTAAAGCTACCAGCACAACTATGTTTATTGCAGCATTATTTACCATAGCTAAGATATGGAACCAACCCAGATGCCCCTCAGTAGATGAATGGATCAAGAAAATGTGGTATATATACACAATGGAATTCTATGCCTCCATCAGAAAGAATGACATTGCCCCATTTGTTAGGAAATGGAAAAACTTGGAAAAAATTATATTAAGTGAAGTAAGCCAGGCCCAAAGAAACGTAGGTCCCATGGTTTCCCTTATTTGTAATATCTAGTATATGTATGAGTCAAGCGGAAAAGGTCAGATAATGTGATGTCAGGAAAATGAACCCTTAGATGTGTATTTTAATGTTTTTTTCTTTCATGCATGTGTTTCTAACACATTTATAAGATTATCTCTTTGTTGCTTTGTATGTCCCTCCCCCATAGTATAACCCTTGCTTTCACTATATTTGATGTCAGTATAACTTGTGGAGGAGATGGGGAAAAACCAGTTGTTTAAGGATACAGGTGGACCTGTTGCAACAATGAGAAGTACAAGTTGTCATGTCCAAAACGAACTTTACAATGTTGGTGGGGGGGGGGGGGGGGCTGGGGGGAGGGAGGAAGGAGAAGGATTGGGATTAGGGGGGGAGGGGAGAGGCTGGGAAGGGATGTGAAGGATAAAGGAGGAGGCTGCAATGCTTGGTAAGAAATGTACACATTATCCTGCCCATGTAACTGTAACTCCTCTGTACAGTATGTTCACAAATAAAATAAAATTAAATTAAAAAAAAAAAAAATTCCAGCTAAGTCTTGTGTTACAAAGGATGCTCTTAGTGTAGCGGAAATCAGGAAAGCAAATCCTTTTGTAATAGCCCCACAAAAAAACAAAATAGCTAGGAGTTAACTAAAGAAGAGAAGGACCTCTACGATGAAAACTTTAAAAACCTAAAAAAGGAAATTAAAGCAGAGCTTAGGAAGTGGAAAAACCTCCCATGTTCCTGGACTGGGAGGATTAACATAGTGGAAACGGCAATACTCCCAAAGGCTATCTACAAATTCAATACAATACCTATCAATATTCCAACCTCATTCTTCAAGGAAATAGAAGAAGCAACCCAAAAATTCATATGGAACAATAAAAGACCCCAAATAGCAAAAACAATCCTTAGCAGAAAGAACAGTGCTGGAGGAATATCAATTTCAAACTCTACTACAAAGCCATAGTAGTCAAAACAGCTTGGTAATGGCAAAAGAACAGACCTGAGGACTAGTGGAATAGAACTAAAGACCTAGAAATGAACCCACAGACCTATAGCCATCTAATCTTCGATAAGGTATCTTAAAAAATAGAATGGAAGAAGGACAGCCTCTTCAGTAAATGGTGTTGGCAAATGTGGTTAAACACCTGTAGAAAACTAAAGCTAGATCCATATATATCACCCTGCACAGAATCAACTCCAAATGGATCAAAGACCTCGAAGTCAAAGTAGACACCCTGAAAATTTTACAGGAAGGAATAGGAGAAACTCTAGGGCTCCTTGGCACAGTCTGAAATTTTCTTAATAAAGACCCAGAAACAACAAATCAAAGAAAGGTTGGATGAAAGGGATTGCATGAAACTGCACAGCTTCTGCATGGCAAAGGACATAGCTAGCAAGATCAATAGAAAGCCTACGGATTGTTGTCTAGCCATACAACAGATAAGGGTCTGTCTCATACTTAGAACTCAAACCCCTAACAACAAATCCTCAAAGAAACAACCACCCAATTAATAAGTGGGCTAAAGACTTAAGGAGAAACTTCTCTGAAGAGGAAATAAGAATGGCCAATAGACACATGAAGAAATGCTCAGCTTCTCTAGCCATAAAAGAAATGAACATCAAAATAACATTGAGATTCCACCTCACCCCAGTTAGAATGGCTAGAATCAAGAAATCTAATAACAACAGATGCTTGGGGGGATGTGGCCAAAAGGGAACCCTACTGCATTGTTGGTGGGAGTGTAAACCACACAAGTGGTTTTTATCTTTCTTGCTATTGTTTTTAACATATTTAAAATGTACTATGTGATTTTTTTTGTTTCTCTTGTATGTTCTTCCCCACAGTATAACCCCTGTTTTCACTGTATTCGATGTTGGTGCCCTGCATCTTGTGTATACATTTTTCTAATTTGGGGAAGGGAAAGGAAATAACAAAATGCTGAAATAAGGATACAGGTTGACCCATTGTAACAATGAGATGTGCAAGACACTATGTTGAAATGAACTTTACAACTTGGGGGGAGGCATGCACTCTACCACTGAGCTACTTACAACTTGGGGGGAGGGAGGGAGGAATTGGGGAGGTGGGGAGGGAAGGGATGATAGGGGAAAAACAAAGGAGGGGGTAACAATGCTCAATAGGAAAGGTATTCATTACCTTACTCACGTAACTGTAACCCCTCTGGACAGTATTTTGTTGTTATTGTTGGTTGTGGGGCCTGACCTCTGGGCCTGGGCACCGTCTCTCAGCTCTTGAGCTCAAGGCTGGTGCTCTACCACTTGAGCCACAGCACTACTTCCAGCTTTTTCTGCTCATGTGGTGCTGAGGAATCGAACCCAGGGCCTCATGCATGCGAGGCAAGCACTCTACCACTGAGCCACCTTCCCAGCCCCTGTACAGTATTTTTATAATAAAAAACATTAAAAAAACAAAGGGTGCTCTTATTTTCTTTTCTGAAGCAAGCATATTATTGCCATTTAACACTTTACATCATTTTTTGTGAGCTGAATTGATTTCAGATCCTTCCTTCTCTAGCTTACTTTTATCCATTGTAATTTGTAGATTTGTTCAGCTTGGGCAGAATCAACATAAACAAGACAAAAACAGCCAACAGCTCTGTTCCAGGTGCTCAGATGGAGTTATAAAACTGTAAGTACTGGGTTAAGCGTTAAAAAACAAAACGAAACAAAAAGCCTTTTTATTGATACCATTCATGTTGCTTTCTTGAGGCTTGTTAAGAAAAATATCACCAAGTTTGTGTAATTAGACTGAAGATCTTCTCTTGGTTCCTTATTTGAGTGAAACAGTCTTTTGGAGGAGTTGAGGGGGACTCAGTGACAGCAACATTAATTGTACTTGGAATATACAGGAATTGGAGTGGGCAGAGACTTCCTTCTGTGAACACTGGGTAGAAATCAGATGATGAAACAGCTCTGACCCTGGAGACACACTTCTCAAATTCAACACCAGACCTTTGAGTTTATGGATGTCTTTGTTAGTTCTAGCAACTTGGGATAAGTTAAACAAGTGTTTCATAAATTCTTAAACAGAACTGTGTTCAAGTAGTACCATTTTCTGGTATGTTACCTTGAGCAAGTAACTATAGTACCGTATGGCTAATTTTCCTGATTTGAAAAAGGCTCACCACCCAAGGGAGGGTGGTGAGCCTTAGATGATAAATCCAAAATGCCTCTGACCGTGTCTGCTACAAGCTTTTAATATAATAGGATCGTAACCATCTTCTTGACATTTATCATTGTTCTCTGCTTGTTGGGACAATCAGTGGTAGTGTGTGTGTGAGCTGTCAAGGTCAATGTCTGGCACCTGGTTAATGTCTAGTTCACTTTCCTTTTCTTAGAACAACTATCAGTTTGGTCAATAAACTGCTTATTTGATAGGTATTGATTGCTTAACTTTTGTGTGTCTTATACCTGCATGTTCCTGATTATTGGTTCAGAAACTTTTATTATCACAACAGGCCAAGAATGATGCCTGTGAGCAGTGGCTGTGAAGCCTCTGACAGTGGTACAGATTTGAGAATACGAGCAGGACTTGAGTCCTCACTCATGGAGAAGAGGAATAGGACATTATCAAGGATGACTTAGGGTTTTTGGTTTGTATAACAGGTTTGACTATTTGACTATTTGACTTCAGCAGATAGTTACTAAATTTGTCTGTGCTAGGAACATTAAAAGCTGTAATGTGCTGAGGTACAGAGCACTGCAACAGTACCAGATCTACCTTTTCAAGTGGCAACAAGAAGGAGGGGCTGAGGAGAGCCCTGGTTGGGAATGTAAATGCTTGTGAGTAATAATTGAAGTTACTGGTGAAGGATGAAACTGAGTAAGAAGAGAAACTTAAGTGATCGCTGTCTAGATCAAATCCTGGTGGGGCTCTTGGACTAAGGACTAGAATAGAGAGAGAGAAAACCCTATCAAGGAGATTGAGAAGGCTAATCAGAAGGGGAAGGAAAGTAAGTGTGTCTTATCACAGTGACTTATACAGATTATCCTTTATTTCTGTCTTCCATTACTATTTTTTTGGAGGCTAATAGGAAACTATTCAAATTTTATACTATTATTATTACAAAGGAGTTGTCATTTAACAAAGCAGTTTGCGAATACACTATATCTTTATTTTCTTTCTTTGTAGGGAGTGGTCATATACTTACTAGTTTCAAAGCAGTTTTTCTTTGTTATTTAGCATATAGAAATATGGACTCCAAATGAATGAAATTGTTATGACCAAAACATATTTAAATATGTTGGTAAAATAAGAGACTGTTAACTAAATTGTATTATACAAAGTGACCATTCTGTTGAAACAGTATGATATGGCTTATTAGGAGGTGATGAAGTACAAAGAATACAAAAATATTTCTCTCATCTTTTCCAACACCATTTCTACTTTGATATGAAATGGGTCTTACAGTTATTATTTTTCCATTCTTTTTCTTAAAATGTTTAGTATTTGCTTTCTTGAGTCCTAGCACCAGGAAAAACCATGAAGAGCTAGACTTTTTAACCTTTTCCACTTAATTAGCAAAGAGTCTATCGTGGTATTGCACAGTGTCTTCAGGATAACAAAGAGCTTGGTAGGCACTGCATTATGTTGTCATGGCAACTGCCAAGAGTGTTTTTGGTTTGTGTATGTGTATGTGTGTGCCCTTTAAATTAGAACTCTCTAAGCAGGTTCTTAAAATGTCAGCTATGCTATTCATTTTTAGATTTCTAAAGCTATGCCCAAAGCAATAGAAATTAGACTTATATGAGATTCTTGAAATTATCTCATATTTTGAGTGCTAGTATATTTTAAAATTGTAATAAGTTCATGTACATATGTATTGACTATTTCTGGATTGTTCACCATCTTGCCAATTTTTCTTGAAATTATGAGGCATGTTAGGTTTCCTTTTACAAATAGGTATTTGCATTACCAGATATGAAAAGTATTGTTAGTAAATAACGACCAAGAAACTTGTAGAACAAGGTCTTCAGAATTGGAGTATGGAAAACTAGATGGGGAAGCCAGGAACTTTCACCCAAGATATTGAATGTTTGGTAGTATGTTGCCTAAGTGGAACAAACTCAGACCTATAGTCGATATCTGTATCATCATCCCAAACACCCAAAGCTATACAACTCCTCCCTGATTCATACTACTCTAATGATCTATCTCTGCTTCTCTCTCATTTCTTTAATTGTTACCTCTCAGTTACCCTTCTTCTTCTTTACCCTCCTCTCTTTTCTGTCACTTCTAAGGTATTTTTAGTTTTGGATTTTTTTGGCTGTTTTTGTTTTTAGAACTGGGATTTGAACTTAGCCATGAGCTTGCTTGGCTGGTGCTCCACCACTTGAGCTACATCTCACTAGTTATTTTGGGTCTTATTTTCCTGACCAGTCTGCTCTTGAGATCACAAGTGCTCGCCATTGCATCCAGCCTCCCTTCTGTGGAGATGGTATTTCACAGATTTTTCTTGGGCTAGGCTGGAACCATGATCCTCTCAATCTCAGCCTCCCAATAGTTTGGGATTACAGTGTTTATTCCTGTGCCCAGCCATTGGTTGAGAAGAGGTGTGATAATCTTTTCTGCCTAGGTTGGCTTTGAACCATGATCCTCCCATATTTTAATCTCAAAATAAGTAGGATTATAGGCATGAATCATCAACACCCAACTTTTGGGCTTATTTAAAAAATGTAATAATATTTCCTTCATAAATATTAGGGCTTGCCGGGCGCCGGTGGCTCAAGACTGTAATCCTAGCTACTCAGGAGGCTGAGATCTGAGGATTGCAATTCAAAGCCAGCCCAGCAGGAAAGTCCGTGAGACTCTTATCTCCAATAAACCACTAGAAAACCGGAAGTGGTGCTGTGGCTCAAGCCGTAGAGCTGAAGAGCGCAAGGACAGCGCCCAAGCCCAGAGGTCAAGCCCCACGACCTACAAAAAAAAATGAAAATAAAAATAAGTAAATAATATTAGGGTAGTATTTTTTTAAGATTGCAATTCTTCACCCACTATGGGATTATGAATTCATAAACTAAATGAAATCAAGTACCAATATGTGGCATATAGTGTAGACAAGATTTGCTTCATGGATAGCATGTGTACATTAGCTTTTCCCACAGTGTGTTTATTGTGGGTAAGGTCAGTTTGGATTTATATGAGCACACCTGTTCTCCCAAATATGTTAAGCAAAAAAATGAACTCTATTCCTGGTATCTAGACATTTACTGAATGTTTCTTGAATAGATGAAATTATGTATGAGTGGGGCTTTTTTCCTTTCTTTCTTTTTTGTGGGATGTGGGGCTTGAACTCAGGGCCTGGGTGCTGTCCCTGATTTGCTCAAGGCTAGTATTCTACCTCTTTGAGCCACAGCTCTACTTCTAGTTTTCTGGTGGTTAAGTGGTTTTTGTGAGGTTAATTAGGAAAGGAGAGAGTCAGAGAGAAGCAGAGAGGTTTCTATGGTAAGTCTGTGGTAAGTAAAATAAATGCAAGCCTTAGAAAATACACCCTGTTGCTTCTGAGAATTGGGAGCTGGGATAAACTTAGGAGAGAAGTAGGTAGCAGAAAGCAACAGGTCAAAATGGAAATGATATAAGATAGAGATAAAGGGCCAACTTAGAAAAATAAATACTTTTTCATTTGAATATTATCTGTCAATAATACTTATTCTTTATTGTTAAAGAAGCTAATTTATTGAAACAAAATGAATTTGTTAAAGCTTCAGAGGAGTGCTGTACTGAAAGGTTTCATATATAAAAAACAATAAGTGTATTATTTTTATTACTGTGTTTTTATGCTTATTACTCATTATTAGGTTAACATACAGAGTAATAAATTTAGTTGTTGGGACTCACATTAATTTTAAGATATCTAAAATGAGAAGTAGTTTTTAATTGTAGTATATTGGCTGTTTTATTTTGTTGAATACAGAGCATACCATTCACAGGGGTTTTTATGGGTTCACATGAGGCCTTACGGGCTTTCTTAACATGGATACATGGTCTTGAGCTTCTGTCCTACGCACCACTGTCTTAGTTGTAACAAAATACCCAAGTCAAGGTACTTTCTAAAGAAAAAAGCCTTATTTAATTCACAGTTCTGAAGATTTAAGAGCATGGCCCAGCATCTGCTCAGTTTTGGTAAGTCATGGCAGATGCATCACAGTGGCAGGAAGAGAGAAGGGGCTATGGCAAGAAATTGAGAGACTGGGGAGGGTCCAGGCTTGCTCTTTTTATGAAAACTCACCAAGGATAGCATCCTTCTTTCCTTCCTTTTTTTTTTTTTAAGTTCATTCTTCTTAAATGCCTAATTGCCTCCTACTAGAGCCTACACTAAAAGATTCATCACTCAGTACTGTCACACTAATAAACTAACCTCTAACACATAGACTTTTGGGAGGCAATCCACGTTCAAACCACAGCAAGACCTAGAAGTAACTGCGTGCATCCAGTTCACAAGACCCTGTCAAGAAGAAACAATATCAGGAGAAGATGTTGGGTAAGAGCCTGACTCTTACCCTCTAAGCAGAATTTTAATCACAGGACTAAGGGGCTTATATTCCCATTTCAGAAAGGTCACTCTAGAAATAGTGTGGAGAACAGATTGGAGTCAGTGTGTCTATTGAACATACCAAGAATGCCAATTG